GTTCCTATATGTACCAGTGTACATCCTCTGGTCTAGCCAGACTTGCAAGGTAGAATTCATGTCATGGTAGTGGGAGCAGGGAGGAAACATTTAGGAACTAGAGGAAAGTTGTATTTTTCATCGTTGCTACATCACACCCTGATTGGCTCATCTCCTACCTGAGACCCCTCTGCAAGGGGATCTCCAGTGGCCTACTAATGGGTTGTGGGTCTCCACTCCTCACTCCCCCCATCATTCACGATGGTAAGATTTTTTGTTCTGATGATGCCTTATACCGGATCCCTTTGACACCTCGTGATTGCATAGGCTGATGTGCTTCATTTTTCTATTTTTAAAGGTACAATTCAGTGGGACAATCAGAAGAGGAGGGTGGGAATGATAAACACAACTTGAAAAATGTAAACAATGCCACTGAACTGGACATACAGAATTATTGGGTTTTTTTCCCCCTAAGAAACGGCCCGTTTTGCCCTGTGCTATGGGTGTCTCCGAGTGAAGAGTTTGTTTTTAATGCAGTTAAATTTATTAATCTCTTAATCCATCTGCATTTGAATAATGGTTTTCTTTAAAATGCTTTCCTATATTCTCAGGTGATAGAAAAGTTCTGGAATATTTTTTTGAAGTGCAGGGTATGTAACAAAAAAATTTTCATGTATACTTGATAGTTCTGCTTCTGGGAAGATACATATCCTGAAGAACATTTATAAAATGTACCTACATCCTGGAGTATTGATTTCAGTATTCTTTAAAACAGGAAACACCATATTGTCCATCAGTGGGGATTGACTGGATTAATTCTCAATCTTACCAGAATCAGTCATTTCTTTTTATATTTTTATATTTTTTAATACTGAGAAATTAAATACATAAATACAGCATACAGCTAATATTATAAATATATAATATACCAAAGTATGTGTCATTTAAAAAATTAGCATGGCCTGATCCAAAGAAAAAATAAGCAGGAAGTAACTTCAAGTAACAGAATGCAGTTTATAATAAAATAATCCAGTGTTTCAATATGTTCAGGTGTGACACCAGCCCAGGCAGTCCTCCACGATCGAACTTATAGGTAGGTGGGAATAGGTGCTTATGCCTTCTATTTAATGAAAGAGTCAAAGCCTTTTCCATAGTTTTAAAAGGTGTGTGGAGCAAGTGAAGGTGATTGTGAGGGAGAAGCTTCAGTTGTTTCAGAGTGAGGGCAGCCCAAAACTTGGGGACTGCCAATAGAGGACAATGACTTACATCATCTCCACATGTTTGCATCCATTTGTTGAATCACTGTGGTTCATAACAAATGCAGAATGATTCAGAGGTGCTGTGTTGGTGATTCCAAAATACCACAAGTTTCAGTAACTCCTTGTAAATTCTGGAGGGGATGGGGGCGGGGTGTGTGTGTGCACAAGTAGAATTTCTAGAATATATGCAATCCTCTCCTAAAAATTGTCATTTAGTAACACTCAAAAAATCTGTTGTGTTATATGTATAGTTAACTTCTAGGCTCTTATAATTATGAACAAGTTTTTCACTAACTTGAATATCTACTGGGATGCTTGAAAGTTGTGCAGGACAGACCAATTCTGGTTTTTTTTCTTTTTTCTTTAAATCGTTTTATTAGGGGCTCATACGACTCTTATCACAATCCATACATACATCAATTGTGTAAAGCACATTTGTACATTCATTGCCCTCATCATTCTCAAAACATTTGCTCTCCACTTAAGCCCCTGGCATCAGGTCCTCATTTTTTTCCCCTCCCACACCTCCCTCATGAGCCCTTGATAATTTATAAAACATTATTTTGTCACAGACCAATTCTGTTTTATGGGAGTGTCTAGCATTAGAAAGGCTCCAGCCTCTCTTGGGTGCTGAAAATGTTTTGGAACTAAATAGAGGTGATGTGAGTGTACTAAATGCCGTCAATTGAGCACTTGAAGATGGTTAAGTTTATGTTTTGTGAACTTTCTCTTATTTACCAAAACCCACCTCATTCTGATCAGTGCCTGAAACTTTTTTAAGAGGAGCTGGAGGAATGAAAGCATGCTTGCATCAGTAAGTAACAGAAGTGAGGGAAAGGATGATTTGGAAAAAATGGTGCTTAATATTAAATATGTGATTTTCATCCTATCACAATTTTGAATGTGAAAAGCGGGGGAGCAAATGACAGTTGTTTTGTTTTTGTTTTTAACCCCTGTCAATTTCCTCCAAGTCTTCATTTAAAAACAGTGAAAAAGAACAATATTCCCAAGTGGGGAGAAAAAGGTGCCTGAAATAATGTTTCTGGAAAAAAAAAAGAAAAGAAAAGAAATAATGTTTCTGAAATATCTGAAAATTTTAGGGAGAAGAATGAGAGGTCTTGCCTCAGGCTAAGGGAAAGAAATCCCTTCATCTACTCCGCAAACCTGGACCTGGACTCCTGCCACCGCTCACAGAAAGCAATCTGCTCGATTGCTGTGACTCCAGAGAGTCAGAGTGTGGGACAATAGTGACGTGTACTCATTGCTTTAATATTTTAGAAACATAATACTGCCATTAGAACTGGAATTATTTGTTATGTTCTGTGCTAAGCATGAAGAAAGGGCAAGAGCTTTCCTGTATTGTAAAGGACACATATAAATTTTTATCATGGATTTCAGACATAAAAAATAACTAGATATAGGTACCCAAGGAGAGATACACTAGATATATACATAGAAAAAAATCATTATCTAAAAAGAATTTAAGAAAAGCCATACAATGATATACCTTATTAAATGGGTGAATGGGAAAATTTACATGGCATGTAAGTTTATAACTAATTTTTTTTCAAAATTATAACAAGATCTCATAATTAAGGTGTAAGCACCAAAAAGAAACCATCTGTAAATACTTATGTTTGCATTTTATCCTTCCTTTCTCCCTGGTTTATAAAAATTAAAATGAGAGTGGTTACTTTCATGCTCACTACCTAGATTAACAATTTTAACAGATTTGCTTTATCTTTGTGGACATGTGTGTCCGTGTTGCCCCTGACCTGAACCCTCAGGAAATAGGGTGTTGGTGTCCTGACAGCTCCAGTTAAAACTTGTTTGTACAGTCTTCTGTAGGGGCCATTCTATATAGTGTTGTTTGGAGTAACGTACTTGAGTGTAGGAAGGAACAAAATCGCCCTGAAGTGAAACAGTTTTTCTACTGTTGTTTTCTTATTGGGAATGAGCGCCCCTTGTCTCCATGAACTTGGCCACACAGCTGTTGTGTTTGCAGGTCTGCCTTCTTGCTCCCCAGGTGGGATACAGAGGAGGTTTTCTACTCCTGTAAAGAGTTACAGTCTCTCAATAAGTTGCTATGGGAAAACTAGAAAATATCTGACATTCTTCTGTATTGAAATAGAAGGTTAAGGGCACTAAGGGCAGCTTAATGTGCACTGAAAAGTGAAAGCAAAGATTTTCTGTAATTTTTGAGAAAATTCTCAAAACTATGAATTGCGCCATACCTACACATCATGAAACAGAAGCTCTGTAAAGGAGGTGAGGTGGGCAGGGGGCGGGGTGACAGTGAGGGCGGGAGTTAACAGTTTCAGAACCCCACAAGAGGTTTTGGCTGTTGAGATAATCATGTATGTTTTGAAGCTAGTGTCCTTGTTTTTCTCTGTTCTAGATGACCCCTCCGATAAGCCCCCTTGCAAAGGCTGCTCGTCCTACCTCACGGAGCCCTACATCAAGTGTGCCGAGTGTGGGCCTCCTTCCCTTCTCCTCTGCTTGCAGGTAACCAAGGAGAGGCTGTCCTCTCCTGGCCTGGCTTCTTTCTGTAGAAAGAGAGAGGTTGCTCAGGAGGGCTGTGCCTCATTAAGTCTATTTCTTCCTGTCCATCCTCCGTTGCATAATTTACCAGTGAATGTTGGGGAACAAAGCAGCCGAATAAGAGTATGTTGAATATTCCACATCTGTCCATCACCTTTATATTTAACCACTTCTTGCCAGTGGGTTTAAAGTATTAGAACCACAGGAAACCGAGCTGGAAGATTGTTCCTGTACTGTCTTATTGAAGAGCAATTATCTGGGTAGGTGACAAAGCAACAAACCATGTTGCGGTGGTTAAGATAAGACTAATTATAAATGTTACCCAATGATTTACATGAATTAACTTGTATAATCATCACTATAAACCCTATGAGGTCTTATTCCCTTTTTGTAGGTGAAGAAATGTTAGGTAACTTACATGCAAGGTAACAAAGCAAATACCATATTTTATCAGATCTAAGATGTCACTGATTATTTCATAAATTTTTAAATGGCTGATGGAAATAATTTGCTTTAGACATTGGATTGCTAAGCCTACAAGGTAACTGGTTCAAATCCACCAGCTGCTTCATGTGAGAAATATGAGGCAGTCTGCTTCTGTCAAGCATTATAGTCTAGGAAACCCTATGTAGGGTGACTGTGAATTGGATTGAATTGATGGTGCTGGTTTTTTTTGTGGATGGGGAGGGTTTTGTTTTTTGAGGTGGGGAGGGGAGAATTAGAGTTTCAATTATAAAATGAATTCTGATTGTTTTAAAATATGAAAACAAAATGTGTTTTAGAATTGCTGTGGTGCGGCAGGTGTGGAACCAGGATTCATATGTAAGCCATCGGATTCTGGGACATGTGCTAGTATCAAAGGAGGGCTGGGCCTAGAAAAACTTTTCCACATTGCCTTTTTCTTTTTGAGGGCCATTAAAAAGCTATGATCATGAATATAGGAGGGGGTCTTCAAAAGTTATGGAAAGATTCATCTTCCAATCCCATCTTTCCATGGGCTTTTTGAAGTCCTGATAGCCTCCTAGGAAAGCCTGGGGGCACAGTTGGGTTATAAAGTGCCCGCACTACCTCCTCACCTGTGAGAGACCATTTCAAACAGTTACTTGTTGGTAACTTACTTTTCCTTTCTTTTGCAGTGTTTTACTCGAGGATTTGAGTACAAGAAACATCAAAGTGATCATACTTATGAAATAATGGTAATGAAGATTTGGTGGGGGGGTTGTTGTTGTCGGTAATGAAGTTTTATGGAAGCTTTATTCCTTTTTCAGGTATTCTGAGAATATATCTTTGTTGCATTTCTCAGTATCTTTTCCCTCCTTCTTCTGAATTTGATAATCAGTACTCAGTACTTTCTTTTAGTTTTGTGGCTCTACTAAGGTGTTTAAGTCCAAAACCAATTTTATAGTATTCAAATTTCAAAATAACTTTTAAAGGATGTACTTTTTTAAATTTACTGATATGGAGAGGGATTTTTTTTTTTAAGACTTGTTGATAAACATAACAGCAACTATGTTGTTAATGTGCTTTAGCTAATAACACTTGTATACCATTCATGTGAGCAGTGGAGTTTATGTCTGGACTCCATCTCCCTGCTTTGGGAATTAGTTACCTTTTGATAGCTATAAAATGAACATACAGCAAATGAGATAATTAGTACATAAAATCACATTGATAAGACAGACTGGTTTTTAGGCCAGAATAAAATTTAGCTGTAATTTGATTGATGGATGCTGTTTTCACCGGTAAAGAAAAGAGGAGAGGCAGATGTTGGTGGTAATCTTTTAAATTCTGGCCAGGGCCAAAGTAGCCAAAGTAAATTTTTGATCTGCTTGAAGGCGTATGAGGAGGCTTCAAAAAGTTTATGGAAAGTTTAATTTTAAAATAATGGAATTTACTCATAAACTTTTGGAAGCAACCTTGTATACCTTTGTCAGCGTTCAAGGTATATTAAACACATAATTAATCAACGTGTTCACCAAGTAGTTCTGACATTTGCTCTCCCACATAGTTTTTCTTACAGGGAAGAAGGTTGGCAGGTATCTGCTTGACAATAACAACGTTGTAGAAAGAATCGCTTTGTGCTGTGTTAGTTTTATATTGCTACTACTATACCAAAATACCAAAAATTAAGTGGCTTAAAACAAGTTTCTATCTCATGGTTCTGTAGAAGTCAGGTAGTCTTGGCTGGTTTGCGCTAGTGCCTACAAGGCTGAATCAAGTTGTAAGCAGGCTCATATCTGGAGGCTCTAAGGAGAATCCAGGCCCATTCAGGTTTTGGGGGGAATTCAGTTCTGTGTGGCTGTAGAACTGAAACTTTTGTGTCCTTACTCGCTGTTGACTGGGTGCTGTTCTCATTTCTAGAGGGCGCCGCATTCCTTTCTCTATATCTAAAGCAAGCCACGGTGGGGTGACTCCATGCTTAGGCCCCTCCTCTCTCTTCTTCCAGGGATTCTCTGATTGGCTTCTCTGGCACTCTCTTCTACTTAATAAAGACTCATGATTTCATTGTGCTCGCCACCTGGGGGAGCCAGGATACTCTCCCTAGTTTAAGGCCAGCTGATTATTAACCTTAGCTTCATCTGAAGAATCCCTTTATAATAGCTAGTTAATGTATGATTGGAAAACCAGGGAGGAAAGAACCTTAAGGAAATTCTGCATACCACAGCAATTTATCGACTTCAATTTCTTAAAAATCACTTTAGACAGGGCTGATCAGTATTGCTGAATCATACCACTTTTGGTCTTAGGGAGTTTCTAGGCCTATAGTGCTAAGAGTCAGATCTTGGACCATAGTGAATTAATCAAAGAAATTCTAAGTAGTAAAATTCTTAGCAACCATCTGGCTATCCTTCCCTAAACTTTATCTAAACACCCCCTTCTTTTCATTAATATCTTCACTAAGTATGACTTAATACCATTTCCCCCCCTTTTGTTAATTGCAAAATCAGTGAAGAATTGGTGGAAATGTGGGGTTCTTATGGTCAAGGTTCATTTCACCAAGGTTATCAGATCACTAAAAAGCTGACTGACTTTTCTCTATTCCTGTAAGAATGCCTAGAACCATAGGTAAATTTACTTTTTCATTGGAAAAATAATCCTTTAAGGGACAATTTAGTTTTGCTTGGGTAAGCTGGTGAGCCATGCTCACGCACCGAAAGAAAACTAACCATAGATTCTCTTTAGCAATTCTGGACACCGTGCCTCTGCACAACACTGAAGGCGCTGTTTCACTCCCAAGTCCAATGAATTCTTCAGATGACATCGTCCTTTTCTTACACATGCAACACTCACACAAACACATTTAGAAGTCTGTGCTGTGGGAAGCTTTTGCGGGTTGGTGATCTTCCTCCCTCCTCCTCTTTGGCCTGCCTTTTTCATCGCCAGTGCTTCTTTCGGAAGAATGATGACATTTTGCCTTTCTACACATGAAGCCACTAAAAACCGGAGTTTTTGCACATGAACCCCCAGATAACTTTAAATGGATACTTTTGTCATCTCACGGTGCTGTATTTTTAGGAGTTACTCATGCTGTGGTGGGTGGTGCGTTAATCAAGACTTCTGAGTTCTATGTCTATTTTTGTCTTGTAATTCTTAGAACCTTGAATAAGTTAAGGCAGTGCCTTCTGCCACACCCTTTATATCAGTGGTTTTCAAACTTTAATGTAATGTATAAGGATCACCTGTGAGTTTGTTAAAATGTAGATTCCACTGATTCGGTAGAACTGCAGTGTGGTCCAAGAACTGAATAACATTAATTCAATTTTAGTAAAAACCTTTCTTATTCCCTTTTTGGGAATGGTGGGTAGGAGGCTAGAAAGTTTTTCTTCTTTATCTCATAATAAAGCTGATGAGGACTAATTCTATAACACTCTAAAAGACAATTGGGGGACTAGCAGGGTCTGTAACAGAAGACTAAAGGAGCCTTGGTGGCATAGTAGTTACACATTGGGCTGCTAACCCAAGGTCAGCAGTTCGAAATCACCAGCTCCTTCTTAAGAGAAAGATGAGGCTTTCTACTCCTGTAAAGAGTTACAGTCTTGGAAACCCATAGGGGCAGTTTCACCTTTTGTATTGGGCCAATGAGTTGGAATCAACGTGCTGGTATTGAGTTTGGAGTTTTTTAATAACTAGTTTGTGATATTTTTATCTATGTAGTACTTACCGCTAAGTGGTGCAAATGGTTCTACACTGGACTACTAACTGAAAGGTTAGCAGTTCAAACTCCTCAAAGGCACCTTGGAAATAAGGCTTGGCATTATGCTTCTGGAAGGCAATAGCCTTGAAGACCCTGGGAGTTCAATTCTTTCTTTCATTTTTTTTTTAAGGAGTTCATGAGTTGGTGTTACCTAGCGTGGTAGCTCATTGTGCCAACTTCCCTCCCACGATGGGTTTCCTATACCAGAGCATACAGAATCCCTAGTAATGTTTATTATCCATTTTACTCATAGAATAATATGGGATAAGTAGAGTTGTGAAATGCTTAAACCTTTCACGACCTTGTTATTATTTCATTGGTCACCCAGAAGTAAAATTAGTACAGGAAAGGCAGGATAGCTGCTTGATCATTTCCTTTTTTACCAGTTTCAAAATATAAATAGACTATCATCCTTTGAAAATTTGGAATATTTGAAGTGTTTAAATTCTTTGCAATTACTTTCCTTATTAATGCCCAAAATGTACCCGTAAATTGGCTCCTGAATCCGTTAGACATAATGACCCTTGTATTCTTTGCTTTCTGGTAAAGCAAGTTGCTCCAGAACTGGTTTTATACTTTTTCTGATGCAGACTTAGAATCAACACTTTATTTCAGGCCCCCTGTTCCTTTTGGTGGGGATGGTGTGCAGAGACTGGGAACCAGACACCGGAAGCACTCATTGCTGCTAAGTTGCCGTCTCTAGAATGGCTTCTAGACTTTTTCAGTGGATAGAGTTTGTATGAAACTGAGTAGTGCTGTCAGTTTCAATTCAACTACAGGACAATAGTTTGTTTTTTAAGTCAAACCTCTTTAATTATTAGACCTGTTATCTGTTTTTATTTCATGCCAAAATCCCACTTAACAATGTGGTAGTATAAGCATTTGTTAGCTTTGCCCCATGACACATTCATATATGAGGGGGCTTCAAAAAGTTGTGACAAAATGGAATTAAAAGTAATGGAATTTTTTCACTTGCTTTTTACAGCACCTTTCCAAATAATTTCAGAATAACTGTACTAACACTACTGAAAACAATTTACGATTTAGGGGTAGGAGGGTCAGTTCTTTTTTTCCATAAGATATATCTTATGAGGGATTCACAATATAATTCCAGTGTTTTAAAGTCATTTGGAATGGTTCCTTTCTGTGTGATTTCACCTCCAGGTTGATTCAGATTTGTTTCATTTTGCATTTGATTCTTAGGCAATGCATTTAAACATTTTTATTTTTTATAATTATGCATAATTTATGTTTTCTAAGTTAAGTCTATAACATAAGGAATACTAGAAAGATTTAGCTTCTGTTTGTGGCTTTTCCACTATTTCGTCCTTCCCCTCTAAGTAGTTTTTTTAATTTTTATTTTTAGGTATATGATCTTTTTCTTCCATTAAAGAAATATATACATGAACACATTTATATTTACTTTTCCCTCATAGCTAAATGGGAGCATGCTTATCTCTAATTATCTCATGCTTAACTCATAATTATCTCTACCTTTGTTACTAAGCTTAAAAACATACATTTCTGTATGAAATTCTTGGCACTTAGGAATGATAATATTTATTGAAGAGTCTTATAGCTAGTCCTAGAAATAGGGATAGGAATATATGTTAGTTACCCATCAATACAATGTGAATGATAGGCATTCAGAAATAAACTAATACTACTGCTGGGATTCCTATACTCCATTTCTATCTCTGTTCTTAGACAAAGCTTTCTCTCCGTAGACATCAGATTTTCCTGTTCTTGATCCCAGTTGGACGGCTCAAGAAGAAATGGCCCTCTTGGAAGCTGTCATGGACTGTGGCTTTGGAAACTGGTGAGAGCTTGACAAGGGCTGTCTTGCTGTATGGGGCTCATGAAAATAGCCACTGTTGAAGGCCCAAGGGAGGAAATTGAAAGGAATTTAGGAGCCATGGGTTTCTTTCTTACTGACCCATGATTTAAAGACATGTTCCCTTTCCCTCTGTATGTTCATTTCTATGGCTGAAATGCCTTCCAGGGTTATGGGATGCTTCATGGTCTAAGACTAGACATCTATCTGTAAAAGGCCACTCTGGATGTATTAACCCTGGGAAGGTTAGGGCTCTTTCTAAGTAACAGGGAAAGTTTAGATTCACCAAGGAGCCCTGGAGCACAGTGCTTAAGTGCTTGACTGCTAATCAGAAGGTTGGCGATTCAAACCCATCAACTGCTCTGCAGGACAAAGATGAGGCAGTCTGCTTTTATAAAGAGTTCCAGCCCTGGAAAACTTACGGGGCAGTTCTCCTCTGCCCTTCACAGTCATTATGTGTAGGAATGGGCCCCAGTGGTACTCGGTTTGGTTTGGGTTTGGTTAAACTTAGCCTACATTTTTACTTCTACCTGAATGTATACATTTTTATTGGCTATAGATGCCCTGGTCATTTGAGAGAGTGAGACTTGAGGTTCTGTTTAGTATTTTTTAATCTTTAACTTTCAAACATCTGTCAAAGTCAAAACAGGGCAAGATTGGCCAGGTCTCAAAGCTATTGCCCTAGGAGACAACACTACTTGGTATTAATAATACCAGCATTTTCATTTTTACTATTTGAGAGCACCTTCACACTAATGATTTTATTTTGTGAACTAAATAGTGGAGACATTGGTAAATATATTTTGTTTATGGACAATTTGAAGCTTAATGAGTTTAAATGGTTTTAAATGATCATATAACTTATTAGGGAAAGGCGCTTAACTAGATCCTAGATCCTGCCCATTTTGATTTCCTAATATATATGGATTTCCTTAGTTTATCAGAACATATATAATATGTTGCTTCCCTTATATCTAGGTCCTTGAAGAAAGAGACTTGAGTTCCATTCACATATTTATTCAGCATTTCTCAAACATAAAATATTGTATACTGTGGAAAGTACCAAATAAAGTAGAAGTCTTTAATCTAATTTTTAATTTTTTGCTTGGTATTCTAACACTGTAAAATGGTCTAGTCCTCCCTGCCTCCTTCCTGTCATAGCAGACCACATAAAAGACTAGTCATTGTGTCTCTACTCACTGTGAGTAAGACATGCTAAGAATACAAGCTAAAAATTAAGACATGGATCCAGTCTCAAGGAACATAATCTATTAGTGGAAACAAAATACATATGCAAATGTTTGAAATACACGATGCCTTAGGGCAAGGACAAGTGGAGTGCTGTGAAAGAAAGAAAGTGAGGTGGGGACTTGGGAGAGATTTCACATCTAGTTCACCACCATCTGGGCTAGGAGTTTGGGGTCTTAAGTATAAATTGACATGGTCACTTTCTACTTTTGTGTTCTGGAATAAGTTGCTTAACTTTTTTGGGTCCTACTGTTTCTTTCCTTGAATTGAAATAGTAATACCCACATCATGAAATTAATACTAGAATTAACTTAAATTTGTATTGTGAATGTTTCTCGTTCAGAGTCTGGCATTAGTAGAAGCTCTAGTAACAGTGGTACTCTACAAGTAGATGCTGGACAGACACACAGGCTGAACACGTGTGGGAGGGAGAGCGGGAGTATCCCATGGGAAGTATATCCACCACGTATGCATTTATGTACACATGCACATATTTATTTGACAGAAGGTATTCGTAGGTGTGTTTTTACATTTGCTGCAAATACTTCCATGAATGTGGTAGAACATATAAAGGCCAAAGTTGTGACGATGTCTTAGATATAATCAAATGCCACGAAGGAATAAGGCTGGGCCTGGGGGATCAGGACCAAGATCAATTGGCATAATAGAGTCTGGGGAAACCCAAAGTCAATTGGCATAGCATAGTTCATTAAAGACAATGTTCTGCATCTTACTTTGGTGTTTAGTGCTTAGGCTCTTAGAAATTCATGAGCTGCCAACTAAGGTATAAATGCTGGTCTCTCCCTGTCTGGAGGAGAGAAGAGTAATAAAAATGGAAAAACATGAAAACAGTTAGTCTAATGGACCATATAAACATCAGACTCTACAACTCTGAAAATGAGAAGAATTAGATGGTGTCCAGCTACTACCAATTGCTCTGACAAGGATCACATTAGAAGGTCCTGGCTAAAGTGGGAGAACAGTATGGAACTGAACTCACTCTGTAAAAGAGACCAAGAATATTGACCAGATGGAAACTCCCAAGAATGTGGTCCTTAGTCACCGTTAGGGATGGAACTAAACTTACCTCCATGTTAGACTAGTCAGCCATTTCAGTTCAAAAGGACAGTGTTTCCCCAGACACAGAGGGAGGGCTAGGAGAAGGAGGAATGGAAATAGGAAGCACTGGGAGGAAATGGGACACGTGATGACGGTACATTGAAATGGATAAGCTGAAACAAACGTATATCAATTGTTGAATGTAAAAGTCACACTCTGTTCTGTAAACCTTCACCTAAATCACTATAAAAAGTTGAAAAAAGAAATTGTTCATATGAAATGTTTTATAAACTAAAATGATATGCAAATATAAAACTATCTATATATTTATGTTCTGAAGTGATTTAAAAATCTGTAGCAATTCTTTGCTTTTGGATGAGCTTTCAGAGACGTGTACAAATTTTCTAGTGATTATTAGTGATGTAGAACTTTCTGGATATTACATCTCTGTCTTGGAGTGGCAACATTTGGAATGCCAGGTTACACTAATGCTAGGTTTACGTATGTTTCATTGTTCTGACTCCAGACATTATATGGAAAGAACACACCATGCTTTTAGCATCGTGCATAATGAAAGCACTGTGTCCTTCTTTATTTTTCCCATACTCCTTCTCTAGGCAGGATGTAGCCAATCAGATGTGTACCAAGACCAAAGAGGAATGTGAGAAACATTATATGAAGCACTTCATTAATAACCCTCTGTTTGCATCCACCTTGCTGAACCTGAAGCAAGCAGAGGAGGCAAAGACTGCTGACACAGCCATTCCATTTCACTGTAAGTGTCTCCCTGTCTGGGTGTGGGATACATAGTTCATCCAGAGGCTCTGTTTCAGTAGCAGACAGTGGTTTGATGTCTTGGAAAAGTAGAGCTTATGGAAGATAGAAAAAGTTAGCATGGCAGTTACTGAGAGTCAGGTTCATAATGTGGCAGGCATAGTTCTGTACTGATGAAGGTGCCTGGGGCTATTGCTAAGCTGTCAGTTAACTTTAATGCTTGCTTCCGCAAGATGAAATGTACAGAAAGAACCAGTCTTCTCATGCTGTTAGAAGTATGAGCCTTTTTGCAATCTCTCTGTGATCATAGATAATTAGTTACAAAACCTAACCCACTGCCATCAAAAAGATTCCATTCTAGCTATCCAGTAGGATAGAGTAGAACTGTTTCGTTGGATGTCGTAGACTTTAAATCTTTCTGGAGCAGTCTTCCACATCTTTCTCCCGTGGAATGGCTTGTGAGGTAGAACCAAAGATCTCGTGGTTAGCAGCTCAGTGCTTAGTTCACTGCACCACCAGGACTCTATTAGTTACTTGAAAGAGCTTATTATTATCAATCATCGCAGTGTTCAATACAAGAAGTAATCTATTACTATTGTTGACTTGGTTGTGGCTGTGATGATGAACTTTTTTTGCCATTTATTTATTTATTAAATATTTTTATTGGGGGTGCTAACATCTCATAACAATCCATATATTCATCCACCGTGGATAAACTTTTTTTTTCCTCCCAATTTCATGTGGCTGAGAGTCCCATGAGACTTTTCAGAAAATATAATAAAAAGCATGATAAAGTATAAATGGACATATTTTCTGAATGACTCCCAGAGCATAAGTAATGACATATGAATGTTTCCTCCTCCCTCCTGTTTTCTCATAGTTATTAGAAACAGTTTTATAACTGACTAACTTCAAGCTTCCTGCTAGCCACTGTGGGTAGCACTGTGGATATGAGTGTGTACCTTGTATCCACATCCATTAGATCCTGTGTTTCTCAGAGCAATCCAGTGAGCTAGGCAGAGAAATGTTCTCATTTTATACACAAGGTTCCAGCAGTTACATCATCTGGGCAAGATCATGTGTCTGTTCTTACTAGGTGCCATGGAGTTGTTTCCACTTATGGGAGCCCTAAATGGAACAGAACAGAATCTGCCCAGTCCTACTCCAGCCTCACAGTCTTTATGTTCAAGTCCATTGCCAATCCATCTGCCTCTATTTCACTGACCCACTGCTTCACCAAGCAATGTCCTTTTCCAGGGACTTGTGTCTCTTGATAATATAGCCAAAGTACATGAGATGAAGTCTTGCCATCCTTGATTCTAAGGAGCATTTTGACTGTATTTCTTCTAAGACAAACGTGCTTGTTCTTCAATATTTATTCCTAATACCATAATTCAAATGCATCAATTCTTGTGCTGGCTTTCTTATTCATTGTCCAACTTCCACATGCATATGAGGCGATTAAAAAAACCATGTCTTGGGTCAGATGCACCTTAGTCTTTAAAGTGACACCCTTGCTCTTCAACAAAAGAGTTATTGTGCAGCAGGTTTTCCCAATGCAATCCAGCACTTTATTTCTTGACTGCTGCTTCTGTGAGCATTGGTTAGGCCAATGCAAGATGACATCCTTGACAATTTCCATCTCTTCTCAGTTCATCATGATGTTCTCCATTGATCCAGTTGTGAGGATTTTGCTTTTCTTTACAATGAGTAATTCATACTGAAGGCTGTAGTCCTTGATCTTCATCAAGTCTTCCTTGAGTTCATCAAGCAACACTGTGCCATCTGCATATCACAGCTTGTTTATAAGCCTTTCTCTAGTCCTGATGCCAAGTTCTTTATAAAGTCCAGCTTCTTGGATTATTAGCTCAGCATACAGATTGAATAAGTATGGCATATAACCCTGACACACACTTTTCCTGATTTTAAACCACTCATATTTCCCTTGTTCAAATGACTGCTTCTTGATCCATGTACAGGTTCTGCAGGAGCACCATGAAGTATTATAGAATACCTATTCTTCCCACTTGTCTATAGTTTATGGTCCACACAGGTGAATGCCTTTGTATAGTCAGCAAAACACAAGCAAAGCAGTGCTATCCCTTGTGCCATATCTTTTTCTGAATCCGGCTTGAATTTCTGGGAGTGCCCTGTCAATGTACTGCTATAATCATTGTTGAATTATCTTCAGCAAAATTTTACTTTCATGTATAACAATGATATTGTTTGATAATTTGCATATCCTGATGGGTCACTTTTCTTTGGAATCATCAGAAATATGGATCTTCTCCAGTTGGTTGGCTAGATAGCTGTCTTCCAAGTTTCTTAGCATAGATGAGTGAGCACTTCCAGTGCTTCATCAGCTTGTTGAAAGATTTTGATGGACATGCTATCAATTCCTGGAGCCTTGAGTATTGTTAATTCTTCAATGCACCTTTGACTTCTTCCTTCAGTATCATTAATAAGTAGCTCATATGCTACTTCTTAGATGATTGAATTATAGTGACTCTTGTGTATTCCTCCCTCCATTATCTTTTGATTTCTTAGATGAAAGAATTACAGTGACTCTTGTGTATTCCTTCCATTATCTTTTGATGCCTCCTGCACCATTCGATATTTATCCATAAACTCCTTCAATATTGTAACTTGGGGCCTGATTTTTTTCTTCTCCCAGTTCTTTCAGTTTGAGGTATGTTGAATGTGTTCTTCCTTTTTTGACTCTTTGCACATTTCACTATAATATTTTCAGAGTCTCTTCTAACAGTGGGTACTAGAGCTAAAACTCAGTGTTTATGGCTTCCTAGTTGAATAAAATTTATAACTGAAATTGGTCCTAAGGGGGCAAAGCCAATGAAGAAGACAGGGTAATACTTTGTAAAATATAAAGAAAAGGTTCTCAACTTCTTTTCATGTTGCTGTCACTCTGTCATTGAGTAGATTCTGACTCAGAGACCCCATGTGATGGAATAGAACCACCTTGCAGGGTCTCTGGCTGTGATTCTATGGAAGCATATCACCAGGTCTTTCGCCTGTGGAGTTGCTGGATGGGGTCAAACGGCCAACGTTTTTGCTTGTAGCTGCCTACTTACCTATCACACCACCAGGCCTCATGCCTTTCATGTTAAGAAACTAAAAATCAGAGGAATGTCTCTATGTAGGGGGTTCCTTAAGTTTTAGTTCTTTTTTTTTAAGAAATCAGTCTGCCCTGAGACTACAGCCTGTAGTCACTCTTCAAGCCTGGAAATGAACTCACCCCTGTGACTCAACTTTCAAACAATAGACAGGCCTTAATGTGCACTAAACACCACCACCAGGGAGCTTCACTCTCCGTAGAACAACCAACCGTAGATCAAAGGGGTAGTCAGTAATTTGCCAAGAGGGAAAGCTCAGAATGCAGGAGAGAGGAAAAAAGGGTGAGTGGAAATGGTAAACCCCAGGAGGAAGCGGAAAGGGTGTATTACATTGTGGGGGTTGCTGTCAATACCACAAAACAAAATGTGCATGAATTCTTCATGGAAAACCAACTTGCTCTGTAAGCTTTCACCCAATCACAATAAAAAGTTGGGAAAATCTCTCTCCGAACAACAAGACTTCGTACTGCCCTTCTCTCTGTCATTTTTCATAGTAATATTTTAAGTGGTTAAGACAAATTCTAAATTCTTCTAGCTGCAGATGACCCTCCCCGGCCTACCTTTGACTCCCTGCTTTCTCAGGACATGGCAGGATACATGCCAGCTCGAGCAGACTTCATCGAGGTAGGAACAGCTTGTTTTGGCATGAACACAAGCTCTTTGTGATGAGGCTTTGCTCGCGCTCATAGGCACCATACCACTGAAAAGAGATTTCCACGGCAGTGTAATTTGTAGGGCCTACGTAACCACATTTTCATCTGTTTGATGGCCTTTTCTCTTTTGGAAATATTTTTATATGTGAACAATAAAAATTTTTCCAACCAAGACTATCTCACAAGTGACATTGGTGTTGGCTCCCACGTCTTCAGTTGGTAGGAATCTGCGGCCTCATCTCCTTTCATACCTGGGGGTATTGTATCAGAGGTTGGCAGACTGTCTCTACAGGGCCAGAGGGTAAATATTTTAGGTTTTGCAGCCCTTCCAATGTCTGTCGTGACCAAACTTTGCCATTATGGTGCAAAAGCAGTCATACAATATATAAACAAATGAGTGTACATGTTTTCTAATAAAACTTTATTTACCAGAACAAGTGCTGGGTTGTATTCGGCTCATGGATCATAGTTTGCTGTCCCCTGCAGTGTATCCTCATATATAAGGAAGGGTGAATGTTTATAAAAACGACATGTTCCTCATCAGGCAGTGGAATTAAACTTTGTGAATAACCTTACAAGTCTCTTGGTTTATTATTTATTCCACAGCTAGCATCCTCCTTGGAGGTATCTTGACAATTAATGTACTACAGAGAATTTTGCCAATGAATACCTATTTTATTCATGGTAGATGCCATCGCAGATCTACCCCACAGACACCACTTCCCATGAGTTGTACTCACTGAATAGGAGATGAGCAGATGTGCCCACTGAGCTACACGAGCAGTAGATCTGAATAAATGGAGGCCTCAAAGGGTAGTAAAAGATGAACCAATGCAGACACCTTTCTTATATAAGTACTTGAAAACCTGATCAAAGTTAGGTTTTCATAGAAATGAACAGACTACTTTTAATTTTTAGAACAATTTTACATGACTTATCTTTGAACTCATAACTATTCTAAGTTTTGTTTTCTTTACTGCCTCCACGTTTCTCACATTTTTCTTGTGACTTCCTATTACCTGTAGAAGTATCCTGGCCTCCTACTCCAGTCACTGTTTTTGCTTTTTATAGCTTGTCTTGTTTGTTGTTGTTGAGAACACATGCACCAAGACATGCTCTAGCCAACAGTGTTTACATGATGAAATGCTTCACTTTGTATGACCTTTCTACCTTCCATATTTCTTTTCCTAAGTTGCACTTCCCCCATTAATATAAAATCACTGTCCCTAAGGTTCCAATCTAAGCTTTAGAGTTGCTGTTTAATTGTAATTGGATCCCATATAGATAGTTTTTTAAAGAGCATAATGTTCAAGGCAGAGAGAAAAACAACCCCACTGCTATCAGTTGGCTCCGACTCATAGGGGCCCTTTAGGACAGGAGAGAATCGCCCCTGTGGTTCCCAAGGCAGTACCTCTTGAGGGGAGCAGAAGGCCACAGCTGTCCAACATTCTTTACTATTAAGCTCAGGGGATATTTTTTGGTTTAATGTTTAAAGATTATCTCAGGGTAATAGTTTCAGGAGCTCATCCAGCCTCCATCCATGGCTCCAAAAAGCCTACAGTCCATGAGAATTTGGAATTTTGGTCTGCATTCCCTGCCTTTTCACCACTCGCTGTTTGTAAACAAATATTTGCATGTGTATTTTCTGTTGGATTCCAAGTCATGAATTCTAAGTTGTTAAGTTAATGGTTTTGGGGTGGGTTTTTTTTCCCCCCACAACAGGAGTTTGACAATTACGCAGAATGGGACTTGAGAGACATTGATTTTGTTGAAGATGACTCGGACATTTTACATGGTAACATTTGTTTAATAGCAAAACATTTCTTGACATTGCAAACTATGTGGTGGATGCTGTATTGGAAACAGGGATATAAGGCTGAATTGAATGCATCTTCTGACTTCCAGGAACTCAAAACCTAATGACTGCATTGCTGAAGTTACCTGCTGCTAATTTTGACCAAATTGACAAAAATGGATTGTGATGATAAGAATGTTGATAATGGTAGTTGGAAATACCCCAGCCCTCAGACTATATGCCCTTTTGTTTGAGGTTAAATCTGAGCTAAGGTAATGGGCTAAGTAACTCTGACTACCTCTTCCTCCTCTTCGGAAGAGAATCCGGTGAAGACCTGGGAATTTTTGTGGTATCTGCTGGTAGTAAGTGTTCATTGCAATTTAGTTACTACCTCAAATTTCCCATTGACAGGTAACAGAGTAGCACTTTTTCAAAAGATTTTAGACCTCGATTGGAAATTTCCTCTTTATTAGAACTACTCAATTTATAACGTCTGAATTTTCCTTATAGATTAGCCCGCTAAGGATTTCTTTTTTAACATTTTATTAGGGGCTCATACAACTGTTATCCCAATCCATACACACATCAATTGTGTAAAGTGCATTTGTACATCGTTTCTCAAAACATTTTCTCTCCATTTAAACCCCCGACATTAGGTCCTCATTTTTCCCCTCCCTCCCCGCTCCCCCCTCCCTCATGAGCCCTTGATAGTTTATAAATGGGTATTTTGTCATATCTTGCCCTGTCCGACGTCTCCCTTCATCCACTTTTCGGTTGTCTGTCCCCCAGGGAGGAGGTCACACACAGTTCCATGTAATCGGTTCCCTCTTTCCTACCCATTCTCCCTTTACCCTCCCTGTTTTGCCACTCACACCACTGGTCCTATAGGGTTCATCCGTCCTGGATTCCCTGTATTTTCAGTTCCTATCTGTACCAGTGTACCTCCTCTGGTCTAGGCAGTCTTGCAAGATAGAATTCGAGTCATGGTAGTGGGAGCGGGGAGGAAACCTTTAGGAACTAGAGGAAAGTTGTATTTCTCATCATTGTTCCATCGCACCCTGACTGGCTCATCTCCTCCCCGAGACCCCTCTGCAAGGGGATCTCCAGTGGCCTACTAATGTAGCCCGCTAAGGATTTATGTCAACTCTTTTGCTATAATTTGAGTAGTAAATACTACAGGGTCTTAAAAGTGGGTGGTTAGACTTTTATTGAGTCTCCGTTTTCCCCTCTACCCATTTTGAATGAACTGCATATATAAAATAATACTCAGTCCTCCCTGTGATTTCAGTCCTGAATTGAACATGATGCAATAAATAATACTCTCTTGGATCCTGTATTCCCCAAACAGCATCTTCATTGTTTCTCTTAAATCTACATCCCAGACAGTGAACAACAACAAAAAACACTCACTGCCATCAAGTCGATTCCAACTCATAGCGACCCATGGAGCAGAATAGAACTGTCCCTTTGGGTTTTCGAAGGTATAAATCTTTACAGGAACAGAAAGTCTCATCTTTCTCCCTCAGAGATGCTGGTAGTTCTGAAATGCTGACCTTGGGGTTAGCAGCCCAGTGTGTAGCCCACACCACCACCAGGGCTCCTCTCAGACAGGCAAGGCAAGTAAAAATCTGAGTTGCTTTATAAATCAGTTTTCATTTTGTCTTAACTGGTACTTTGTCACCAGAAAGGAAACAATTCTGAGCTCTGTAAATGTGCTGCTGAGTTATCTGCTACACAAGATCTAGGCCCAAGAGAGTCCTCATAAAATTTTTTTCTTCTAAATTTTTCTTTATAACTTTCTGATCACTTTTTTGTTGTTGATGCAAAATTCCATTCTTCTTCTCTCCCACATAACTTGTATGGAAAGTGAGAGCGATGCAGAGTAAACAAAAAGAGGAAAGCTTAAAAGCAAACTACAAAAAAAAATAAATAAAAAGCAAACTACTTGGGCATTCACTAGATCCATTGTATTTGCTCAGTTTTCCACGTCGGTCTCTTCAGCCTCCATGGCTCATGTTATTGCCTTTTCTCACTTCCTAGAGATTGCCAATCAGCATTTCTCTGCATAACCCCAGCTTCAGTTAAAATTATATCATCTCCTGGCTTGTATCTTTTATATTCAAAACACTCGCCTTCCACATATAAAATGGACAGCTTCATCAATAACATCCTTATAGGTACTATGCAAAAATACTAAGCTTAAAAAAAAAAAACTAAACTTTTGAAAATCAAAATCTTTAGTGTTGATAATGGCTTAACTGTGCCAGGGTCTTGCCGACTTATTTCTCTGTGTACTAATTATATCTTGACATTAATAAGACAATTGTTGTAGTAATTAGTCTTTAATTCCACTCTCCACTCTTTGCAACAGCAGTATTTGCCATTTATTCTGGTGCATACTATCCTTTTGCTAAGTGAGTATGAACAAAAGGAATAATCAGAAAGCAGCAGCCAATTAGAAGTCTTTTCCAGTTGGCATTTCAGATAGCTAGCACATTTTTAGCCATTTGTGCCTTTTCATTTTCTTCCTGTAGTTCTGCAATCTTATAAATGACCTGTTTTTCATTTGCACTAGAATGACAGTATTGGTTATGAATCCTTATACACAAGTAGCTATAATAGAAAGTAAATAATAAGCCCACCTTCTTTCTCCCCATAAGCTGTCTAGGTAGGTGCTTTTATAAAGATGGTAGCATTTTAAAAAGACTTGACCAAAGGGATGCTGTCCTAATGGCTCCTGAGTCTATCACTCCACCGATACAGCATGACTGGCTGACTGTAGGGGCATGCTGCTTCCTATCAGGCTATCCCAGAACACTCAGTTCACTCAGCTAGAAGCTGACACAGCTCAGGAAGAAATGAGAAGGAGCTCTCTATGTACACCGGGGAAAGAAGCAGCAGGGATTTTATGGAAATGAGGACACTGATTCTACCTGAGACATGCTTCTGAGTCACCTGTGATCTTGGACACATTCTTGGAATCGTGCTCACTGTTCCTTTGTGTCCCTTGCCATTAAAGAAGGGGTGACACCAATTAGTCAGAGTGTGAATGTCTCCAATGATGGATGATACGTAATTCTGATTGGTGCCATTACCATTCCATTACACCATTATGCTCAGTGTGACTGAGCATTAACAACATTCTTTTTATATTCTCTCACAGATAACTAGTTGAAGGAAGACAACTGATTGGCTGGGTTTTGTTTTCAATCACAAGGCATCAGGAAGATATACTGAGGCCATCAAGTCCTTTCCTCATCCAAACAAAGATTTTTGCTCTGATTTGTAGAACTTGTATAATAACATTAGTTTGGATGATCCTGTATAAAGGTTCTGACGGGGAGTGGGGGGTGGGGTTCTGACAAACAATAGAGAGACAATTAATTACATTCTGACCCTTCCAGAGGTTTTCAAAATGAGCCAAAAAAGGACACTAAATAAAACCATATCTGGGAACAAAATAAGGACATTCAGGAATCTAAGTGACACCTGCTCATGTTGAGAAAACAGAAATGACTGATTCAAAGGAAAAGAGAGATGCTTCTCTCCTTCCAAAAGAGATCCTGTGGAACTCTGCTGTCCCATAGGCTGACCTGGGATCTCAGTGCTGATGGTTAGTGTAGGTCCCCTCTGGCTGACATCTCTTTCCCTGTCTCCCTCATCAGGGAAAATGTCTGCTAGTTGGTTTTATGGACTCCTCTTTCCTGAAGTTTTCAGTGGCCTGAAACCCTGAGTAGGCCATCGTTTAGACATTGCTGTCCCACAACTTGGGTAGGCAAGAGGCCCTGAGAACCCCTCCCTGTGTGTTGGTAGGTGCGTTCACTGCACACAGAGTAGTTCACGCTCCTTCTACCTGGACAGCGAAGAGCCCCTGCCCTCCACCGTCATTTTCAGCTAGTTCTTCTTTGACCCTTACATTGGCTTTTTCATCTTTTCATAGTTGGTAAAGCAGAGGCCCAGCTTGGGGTCTGTATGCACTCACCTACTGGTCAGGTCTTCTCCTTTACAATGATGGGTTACATTATGCCTAGATCATTTTAGGAAAACATGAGAATTTTAGAAAATAGAAAAGTGATTATTATTTATAGTAATACTACTGAGCATTAACAACTTTCCCTTTATCTTCTCTCACAGCTACTTGGAGGAGGCATACTGGTGGATGTATAATATTAATAAGAAATTATAAATACTAGACAATACTTACAGGAGGAGCCCTGGTAGCATAGTGGTTATGGGTTGGGCAGCTAGCCATAAGGTCATCAGTTCGAAACCACCAGTTTCTCTATGGGAGAAAAATGAGGCTTTTTAGTTCCTTAAAGAGTTACAATCTCAGAAACCCACAAGGCTAGTACTACCTTGTCCTTTAGGGTCGCTATGAGTTGGAATTGACGTGATGGCGGTGAGTAAATACTTAGCAGCACTTACAGTATGCCAGTATCTTTTGGAGCATCTTATTCCATTGACCTGGAACTCATTCTATCCTCACAAAGCCCTGTGAGGTGGGTATCCTCGTTTTACAGAAGAAGAAGTTGAAGTGTAGAAAGGCCAAGGCACTTGGCTGACGTCATACAGCCCACAAGTGGCACAGTCATCTCCAGAGTGTGCTGTTCATCCCACACTATACTTACTGCCTTGATAACTTAGACTTCTATTGTTGTTGTTGCTATTTTTGTGAGGCTTCATGAATTTTGTCCCCTAGAGCCTCACCACATTCCTGAAAAGTAGGAATAGACATATCTGCCCATGTTTGCATTTGGGAAATGCACAAAGAAGTTGAGTAACTTGCTTGGGGCATCCATGTTGGTGACTTTCACCATAGGTGTCAGGTTTAAACCCTGAGCATCTTGGTCAGAAGCTCAGTGGAGAAGGCCTTTAAAACAGCTTTGCTTCTGGGGAATAGCTGAGCCACTGGTTGTTGCTTGCTTGGTTGCAGTAGAGGTTTTGACTGGCTGCTCAGCAGTCAAGGCCTCTGAGTTGGTTTTCTTGCCAAGCAAGCACAA